TTTACAGCCGATGAACTGCTTCCCATTATCGCACATGATCTCGGCCGGTATTCCGAACCGGCATATTATGTGGTCCCAAATGAAGTCAATAACTTCTTTCTCCCCGACTTTCTCAAATGCTTGGGCTTCCACCCATTTAGAAAAATAGTCAGCCATAAATAATATAAATTGAGCCTTACCAGGTGCTCATGGCAGGGGGCCAGCGATGTCCATTCCCTATTTCATGAATGGCCAGGGTGACAAGATCGAATGTGCTCCCTGGGCTGATGAATCATTGGTGCATGTCTCTGACATCCGTCGCATTTTCACACGAACTCCTTTGCATATTTTTCCATGCCGATCCAGTAGTATCCGGCTCTGATTATCTTACGAACCAACGATTTGGTACCCGAATGATTCCTGTAGGTGCCTTTGTGAACTTCCCTCAAAACATACTTGGTATCTCCCGGTCCGAGATATATGGCGAGTGGGCCATCAAACTTTCTCCTGAATAGGGTGTTGTCTTCGGACAAGATGAACCTGACCGCCTTCGTATGCAAAGCTCTCGATTCTTTAGGGTCTGAGGGCAGTTTTTCGATCTTCAGGTAATCTACATACTTGTTTCTCCAGTCCCAGGTTAAGCTTGTCAAGTTTATCTCCGCGTGGCCTTATTCCACTACCTATTTCATGAGTTGTACGACTATTTCCGAGTTGAATTAATCGTCATCAACCGACAATCCTAAGTTGGCAAGAGCATCGGCTTTGCTGTTTTGATCTCGAGATACATGTTGCAAAGTCCATTCCTTAAATCGATGTAACGTCAACTGTAGTTTATCCACGTACCTTCGTATTTGTTCCTCTTTGACTTCGAACGTTCCATTGACTTGGTTCACCACAAGAAGGGAATCGCACTTAGCTTCAATAACCTCGGCCCCCAGGATTTTAGCCAGTTCGAGACCTGCAATCATGGCTTTAATAACGAGAAGAACCGATGGCTCTTGTCGGAGGACTTTGAAATGAATCGGCCCAAAGCGGCTATGCACCCGGTTAACATTTGAACGACCTTGACATTTTCCACCACGGTAATGTCCTCTATGGCCTTGATTTTATCACGGTTGATCTCGATTCCCCAGTTAGACACCATAAGTCCGAGAAATTTCCCGCACCCGACTTCGAATGCGCATTTCTCTGGGTTCAGCTTCATATTGTATTTCTTCAATATGTTGAAGGTTTCCTGCAAATGTTTCAAATGGTCTTCTGCTCGTAGGGACTTAACTAATATATCGTCAATGTAAACCTCCGTTGATTTTCCTATTTGTTCTTCGAACATCGGATTTACTAGGCGTTGATAAGTGGCACCAGCATTTTTTAGTCCGAATAGCATCACGTTATAGCAATAGGTGTCGTACTTAGTGATGAAGGACGTTCTTTCCTGGTCGCCCGGGTCCATCCGAATTTGGTTGTACCCAGAATAGGCATCGATGAAACTGAGGATCTCATGGCCGGCCATCGCATCGATCATGCGATCGATGTTGGGCAGAGGGAAAGAGTACTTGGGGCATGCCTTATTCAAGTCTTTGTAATCTACACACATTCTTAATTTATTCCCCTTTTAGGGACTACCACTACGTTTGCTAACCAATCTGGGTACTTAACCTCCTGAATGGACCCTATTTTAAGGAATTTAGATACCTCGTCTTTGATGAATGCATGCTTGACTTCGGACTGAGGCATCCTTTTCTGTTTGACCAGTTGGAACTTCGGATCCAGGCTCAGCTTGTGAGTAGTTATTTCCAGCGGGATCCCTGTCATGTCGAGGTGGGACCAAGCGAAATAATCTATGTTAGCCATAAGGAATTTAATAAGTTTCTTGCTGAGCTCGGAATTTAACCCCGTACCCAGGTATACCTTATGATTGGGCAGGTGCTCGATCAATATGACTTGCTCAAGTTCTTCGACCTTTGATTTGGTGGCGTCAGAATAGTCGAGGACTATGAAGGATCTGGGAACTCTGTAGTCGTCGTCCTCATCCGTCTCCTGTTTCTTCAGTTCGGTTGGGGCCGGTGTCGGTGATTGTTATTTGGTTCCTTCCTTGGCGACCAAACTCTGATCCTTTGGTGTAGAACGTATGAATATCGGGACCACCTCGTCGTTCGTAAACATCTTCTTTGCGGCCTGTTGTTCTCTGTAAATTATTTTAATCCCTCATGGCATTGGGAATTTCAACACCTGGTGTAGCATCGAGGGCACTGCCCTCATGTTGTGAATACACAGCCTCCCGAACAGAGCGTTGTATCTCATATCTCCTTCGATCACATAGAACTTTTCTTCCTGAATGGTTCTAGCGGTTTTCACCGATAGCGTTATCTCCCCTTTAGTGGTCTCACATGCCATGTTGAATCCGTTTAGAACTTGAACCGCATGCACAATTTGGTCCTGTAGACCCAGCTGCTCTACGACTCCCGATCTGATGATATTGGCCGAGCTACCTGTATCAATTAACACACGCTTAACTCGAGATTTATTTATGAGTACAGATATTACCAGTGCATCGTTGTGTGGCTGCACGATGCCTTCAATGTCCTCGTCGTTGAAAGATAAGGTTCCTTCTGGCACGTAACATTGAGTCAATTTTTCTCTAGTGATGGACACTTTGGTGCATTTTAACATCGGCCCCTGGGGGACATCGACCCCACCGATGATCATGTTAATGATGTGTTGAGGTTCCTCCTACTCGATCTGCTTATTAGAGTCCCTATTCCTGAAATGGTTTTTGGCTCGATCGCTCAGGAACTCTCAAAGATGTCTGTTGTTGAATAACCGGGCTATTTCCTCTCTCAATTATCGGTAATCTTCCATTTTGTGGACATGAGAGCCGTGATACTTACATATTAGGTTGGGGTACCTTTGGGCTGGATTGTACTGTATAGGTCGAGGCCACTTGGTGTCTTTGATGCATCCGATGGCAGCAACATAGACGTTGAAGTTGTACTCTGATAACCTCGGCGCTTTCTTAGGCCCTGCGGGCCTGTCAAAACTGCTTTTGCTCATGAGTCCCCGGTTGTTTTGATCTCGATCGCTTCTCCTTTAAGTTCTCACAGGGTTTCGTCCATACCCATTACCTCTTTGGTCCCCATTGTATGGTTGATACCGATCCCTATTTGACCTCGGTTCACGATCAATGTCTATCTTGGGTCTGTCGATAGCTCTGACAGGATAAACGGACCCGGAAGGGCCCCCGAGCTAATCGTCTTCGACCCTAATTTTTGATTGATACCGGTTATGTACGTCGGCCCAAGTTACAGCCAAACATTTTACCAGATTTTGCTTCAACTGCTATGAAGCCAATGAGCTTCGAGTATTGAGTCCTCTGGTGAAGGCTTGAACGACCCAATTGTCCGCGACCTGAGGCAGGTTCATTCGTTCCATTTGAAATCAGGACACGAATTCCCTGAGCATCTCATTATCTCAAAGAACAAGTGTAAAATAGGGTTTGTTATGGAAATTTATATCAAATTGCTACTATTACCCTTAGCCCCACGGTGGGCGCCAAATTATTTACCCTAAAAAACAGATAACAATTAAATTTATAAGTGGTTTTAAGGATATGCAGATTAATTCAATACAAATGATAAATTGCGTTAGATTAAACAAATAAAGATATAGTAAATTCAAACCACGTGAGGAGGATAAAATATTCACCCTCGATCCGGACTCACAATGGCCAGCACTGATGAATGAGAATAAGAGCTTTCAATCATAGTGAAAATAATAGTATATTGCTTTGGGATACGTGTTACCATCTGTTCAATGAATAATCAGGCTCCCCTTTATATAGTAGGGGAGTTTTACCCAAAGTACAATTCTATAAAAGGTAAAAATCTCTCGTTTAACTGATTACTGGATTCCCGTCGGTACGTGCCGAGATCTACGCCGCGATACTCGGTTGATCACGGATATTACGGCCTTCCGTTACTCGTGTTCGATTGCCCAGTAATGCTCTCCGACGTCTTTTGAGATTTGGACCGATCCCGAGGTCATGACCTCGATATACTCGAGGGCGGGCGTCGTGCCCCCGGTGCCTGACTCAATGAGTTCCTTACCTTGATTCCAGTTCCTTGGCATCGCGTTCCTTACTCGATTTATTTTATCGGGAACCGGGCTAACTAGTTGGCTAGTTGGCCGAAATTAATAGCATTCGCTAGTCAAAAAGTACAAAATATATATCACGTATATATACAACAAAAAAAAATATATTTTATCGGCTATTATTTTTGGAAGCGGCTAAAATATACATTTTTCTCAAAGATATGAGTTCGCAAGACGGGCGTTGTGTTTGTTCAGTGCCAGTTACAACCCTCCAATTCTGGGGCATGACAAGAGTAGAGTTGAAAAGATTTGAATTGTCTTTGGCATGATAGAACGTAAAAATGCCAAAGCAATTTTGTATTGTGATTGTGGCGAGGGAAGCCGCGATTGTAGTATGCAACAAGGGTTGGACAAGGATGAATAGCTGAGATCGCATCCCACTAGGAATCGAATATTGAGCAGTGATATCGTAATTCAAGACAAAGAACGGTTACAAATAAAAACCCAGATCTAAATTAAAGACAGTTTGGTTAGGCACCGTTGAGCATAGTAGTTTTCTTTTGAACAAAATAAAGCTACGTATAAGTAATTAATAGCTCATGTCTACAATGCAGGAAAAAATAAAAATAAAAGATTCGTTGACCGAAACCCTAATGTAAAATTCTTTGTACTGGAACATCTAAGAAATCAAACAAAAACAGAAAGAAAAACAAAACATTAATTAGCAATAACAAAGCAACACTACTAATTAATCCTTTAACAACTCTGAAATTCATCAACTGCAATGCAAAGAATGATATATTAACCTTCTAATTATAAACCCTAACTATAATTCTATAATTCTCTAGACAAGAAATTGATCTAGGAAATTAATAAACTAAAACAGAAAGAAAACGAAACAATCGCAATAACAAAACAGTACTACGTAGTAATTAATCTTTTAACAATTCTACGCCAATTCTATAAGCAAGAAAAGAATCCAATGATCCAAATTTAACATTATCATCTGAAAGAAACCATTTAACTTCTGGATTCCACCATTCCATGGTAGCAGGCTTGTTCACATCCCATTCATCACCCAAAACCTTGTTAGCCAATTTCTCCGCACTACAATTATTAGCAATTTCACCAAAAGTAGCCTTTTCCCTAGCCTTATCCCTCAAATCAACCCAATTGCTAATCTTTATATTATAATCCTTCTCGAGCTTCTTGACCGCATCCTCAATCCCTAAACCAACTACAATTGTCTTGTTATCAGACAAACATTTCCAGAGAGCCAACGGATATTTCTTATGAGGGTAATAATGTTCGAATTCGTAGAAAAGGCAGTGATTATCAAAACATAGTTGTAAGAGCTCAAAAGGAGCTTTTGATACTTGGCCTTTGCAATCATAGTATGAAAAGCCGCTATTCTTGTATTGTGCCTTACGATCAGGGAAAAGACTCAAGATTAGATTCTTTTGTTTCTTTTTCTCTTGAAACTTTTTTATTTTGGAAATCCAATCGATGACCAGGGAATCATTAGGATAATCTATTCCATGCCATAAGGTTTCCAATATGATGGGTTTTTTGTTTGCTGGTCGTATGGTGGTTAAGTAGAGCATGTCATCATCAGTGTCAATTTCATGTTGTAAACTGACTTCCATGGCCATGGCTCTTTAATTCTATCTCCGGCAGCTTTCACAGTTTTGAATGAGAGAGTTTGAATTGTGGACGCATGGTTTCTTTAGGGTTTAGGGTCTACTTTTTGTAATGTATGGAAAATAGCATATATATAACCGACTTATATTTTCTTTTTTTGACTAGGAAAAGGAAATACAACATATTGCTTAAACAAATGCAATTTAAAAGTCCTAATTCGAGTGAAATCAGTAGATTTGACCAACATAGTTGCATACTTGCATTTCCTTTTGTGGAGTTAATCGAGAACTTCACACCTTTCTTTTCTCACTTTTCTCACATACTTTTTTTTTCTGTACATTCTTTCTTTCCTTTGCTACTTTATATGTAATAAAAACAAAAAATGACAAGAATTATTCCAACATATTTGTTAACTTAAAAAAGAAACATATTTTTAAACTTTATAGCTTAGTTTAGAGAGAAATGAATGATGATCTGTGTAACACCTCGTACCTTAGTGTTTGGATGCATCGTAGTAAAACTATGTTAGTTGGAAGAGATTAAGGTCGTACATGAAGCTATAGATGTAAGACCCCGTAAGTTTATTGAATTCCGAAAACGTTATATATTGCCTTGATATGATACTTTCTTTTAAGAGAAATATTCTTTTGTAAATGTTGGATAAATATGATTATCAAAACTTATTAGTATAATATTTTTTTGATAAGTTTTAGTTAAATACATGATATGAGGAAACTTTTAAAGAATATTTTATGTATTATAAGAAAAGAAATTACTTTCTCATAAATTTTTTTATATTTTTATCCATTTTAGAATTAATAGTACAAAAACATTTGTGCTCTTGTTATTAGGTTGACAAAAACAGGATTTGATAAAATTATATAGGTGTCAATAAGTAGTCATGCATTATTTTTTTAATGAGTCAAAGTTGTTAATGTAATGTGCAATGTAGAGTATAATATTTTATGTTATTTATACCATACACTTACATATATTCTATTACATCTACATGAAGTAATGTGACATGTATAACTTTGTTATAGTAGACATGTGCCCAACTTTCTTAAAAAGTTGCATCTTTATCTAGCTAGTCATGTTCCACCGCCAAAGACAACTAATGTTGCATCATATCCTTTCCTTACCTTCTTTATAAATCAATAAGTAGAAATTTACATTTCCTCTTCTTTTCAATTCAATGAAGTACAAACAAAAGTCTTGTTCCTTCTTTCTATTTTAACGAAGAATAACAGTAGTCTTAATCGGAGGCTCCTTTTATCAAATTATCTCAATTGAAGTAAGGTGTAGGGAAGCTTAAAGAAGGCAATCTTCTACGAGCTCGTATAAGTAATTAAGGTATGTTAAGGCTAATCCTTCCTTCTTTTGGCATGATCCAAGTAATAAAACGTAAATGTAATATTATTCTATAAGTGATTCTACTCTTTATAGTTAAGGATATCAACGTTATTCATTCTTGTAAAATGATACTCAAAGCATGTCTAAGTATGTTTCTAAGTCCCTATTGAGGCATACGATATAGATGTTAATGTTCAGAATATAATGTTATATGCATCTTTATTTACCACCGAGCTACGACCGTTTGGCAGCCATGCATTTACCGCTGAGCTACGATCGGTCGGGCCGTCATGCTTTTACCACCGAGCTACGGCCGGTTGGGTAGTTACACATTTACCATCGAGCTATGGCCAGTCGGGCAGTCATGCATTTACCACTGCGCTACAGCTGGTCGGGCAGTTACCACTGATCAGTTGGGCAGTTAACATCAAGATAATGATGTATTCAGAACTTTGGTATTGTAGCTATATATATGTATATACGAGATTGAACTTATTATGCATGTTATGGCCCTTAGCGGCAGGTCAGATGTTGCAGGTTGATTCTTATCCCTCTTAGTAATAGTGTCTTATTTTTATGTTTCATTCCTGTCTTACATACTCGGTACATTCTTCGTACTGACGTCCCTTTGTCTGGGGGCGCTGTCCTTCATGCCACGCATGTGTAGGTCGACAAGGCGAGGACCCTCCACTGTAAGCTGTCTCCAGATATCAGCTTTTGGTTGATGAGCTCCACTTCTTCCTAGAGTATTGGCGAGTCAGAGTCCTGTATATGTTATTTTGTTTTATGAGGATGTCGGGAGCCCTGTCCCGACTTATATATTATGGTCATGTTTTCTTAGAGATTTTGCAGACAACATCCTGTGTATAGTTTTGGGTATGACATATCAATGGCCTTATCGGTCCCTATGTATCTATATAGATCTTTTTGAATTAGTTATGCGAGTTAAGTTCTAATATTGTTGCTTATATATATGGATGTGGCCTGTAATGGCCCGTGACAAGTATGATAGTAAACAAGGATAAGGTACATGGCGCTCGATTGAGTAGGCCCTGGGTGATAGTCGTGGCCCTCCGATTTGGGTCATGACAAACTTGGTATCAGAGCGGATGTGTCCTATGGTTGTCTGCAAGTCGTGTCTAGTAGAGTCTTGTTTATAAGTGTGTTGTGCACTATAACGACCAGGCCGGTCATTTTTAGAATAGTCACGTCCGATGGCATAAGAATTTGAGCAGCTTCGTAATATATGTATTGACTTGCGTGCATGGTTGGTTTCAGTTACCAGATGATTCGGAGTGATTTGGGACACTTAGTCCCTAAAATGGAAGCTTAAGTCTTAGAATTTTGACCGTAGTCGGAACTGTATGAAGACGACTCCGGAATGGAGTTCCGCTGGTTCTGTTAGCTCCGTTAGGTGATTTTAGACTTAGGGGCGTGTCCGAATTGTATTTTGGAGGTCCGTAACTTATTTATGCTTGAATTGGCGAAAGTCAAAATTTTGAAGTTTTGGACCGGTAGTGAAATTTTTGATATCGGGGTCGGAATCTGATTCCGGAAGTTGGAGTAGGTCCAAAGTATTGAATATGACTTGTGTGCAAAATTTGGAGTCAATCGGACGTGGTTTGATAGATTTCAGCATCGGTTGTGGAAATTTGATGTTTCAAGTTCATTAAGTTTGAATTGGAGGGCGATTCGTGATTTTAGCGTTGTTTGATGTGGTTTGAGGGCTCGACTAAGTTTGTATGGTATTTTAGGATTGGTTGGTATGTTTGGTCGAGGTCCCTGGGGCCTCGGGTGAGTTTCAGATGGTTAACAGGTCAAATTCGGACTTAGAAAAAATCTGAAGTTTCTGCCTTCTGGTGCAATCGCACCTGCGAAACTTGGCTCGCAGGTGCGACCACGCAGAAGCGCAATGGACATCGCAGGTGCGCAAGGTCCGTAGAAGCGGATGGCATTTCCGCAGGCGCGCACGCGCAGGTGCGGCCCTTTCATCGCAGGTGCGGAGGCAGAGGGGGCAAGTGATTTGCGCAGAAGCGCTCATTTTTCGCACAAGCATATGCGCATGTGCGAAAATGCCCGGGCAGTGTTTAAAACCGAATGGCTTTGTGATTTTTGTCATTTTGGACTTTTCAAACTCGGTTTAGGGGGATTTTTGAGAGCATTTTCGAGAGATTTCTTGAGGTAAGTCCCTTGTGCTTATTTTTTATCAATATCTTGTTTCCCCATTTATTTTTCCACCTAGTTAGTGTGTATTTAAGGTGGAATTTACGATTTTGAGTCTAGGCATTTGGAAAGTTCGATTTGTGGATTTGAAGGACCATTTTGTGCCAGATTTTAGTAAATTTGATATGGTTAGACTCGTGAGTGAATGAGCTTTTGGATTTTGTGACTTTTACCCGATCCCGAGATGTGGGCCTGAGTTGACTTTTTAGGGCAGATTTCGGGATTTTTGTTAAAGTATTGATTTCATTAATTAGATAAGTCTATTATAGTTGTATTCATGATATGCAATTTTGTTTGGCTAGATTTGGGCCATTCAGAGTCGGATAATCGAGAAAAGGGCATTCTTACGGACTGATTGAGCTTGGTTCGAGGTAAGTATCTTGCCTAACCTTGTGTGGGGGATTTTTCCCTTAGGATTTTGAGTCTTCTATATTGATTGTAGTCCATATACGCGAGGTGACGAGTGCGTGCTCGGACTTATTTGTAAAAAGTGGGCCTTTTAGGATTCTTAGGTCCTTATATTCACCGAGTATGAAGTTGTTCTTGATATGATTAAGTTCCTATTTATTAGTTTCACCTCTACATGCTTTAATTAGAATTAATTGCTCTCAGGATTCACTCTTATTGCCTATTTGACTCTTATTTGACTTAACTAAAAATTTTACATCCTCTATTGTCATGCTATCTTTTCATAACTGCTTATCTTTATTTGAAATTATTATTATATCATCCTATAATTTGTTTAGTCTTAATTGAGATTATGATTATCTTTCCGCTGCTTATCCTTAATCGAATTGTTGTATATCCTTCGAAATTCCTCAAACTTAAAAGAAGTTTTATATATCCTATATCTTAGTTATATGGGTTGCGCATGTGGCGAGACAAGGTAGGAACATTGTTATGCACGTGTGGCGAGACAAGGCGAGCACTTACTTTATTACTACACACGTGGCAAGATAAGGTGGGATGTGTCAGGGATTGATTTGTGGTCTTGGGGCAGTCTTGTTGTTGATATTTATGTAGTGGTATACGTACCTGTGTGAGCTTTATCTTGTGAAAGCTATGAGAAAATATTCTAAGTGATGTCCGTTCTTTTTCCCTTATGCTTATTTGCTGATATGGACTATGGTAGGACACTTGCACAAGCATACACGTAGTTAAGCACTCTTATTGGATAAGAGGTATTCTTGATATTGTTGAGCATAGATGCTCACCTTTGTTTACTTGCCTTCTATGTGAGAATGACTTTATTGGCACGTGAGTCGTCAGTGCTGTTATGAGGTGTTATGAGGGCACATGATGCCAAGTGTTCGGGTTCGGGTATTGAGACCCATGAGTTGTGATTTGTCCGAGGTTCGGTACCTCGTGGAGTTGTTGACTAAAATCTGATGTAAAAGCGGTTGTAGTTGCTGAGTTATTACTTGTCCTTGCTGTA